GTATGGGGTACAATATAGGCAACACCATAACCAGCCTTGGCGCACGAGACCTATGGCCTTTCGCGATGGACTAGGTCAAGTGGCCGTGTCGATCAAAATAGGTTGGGGGCGGAGTTGGATGGGAAAATTAGTATATATAGAAGCCTTCTTATGTATAGCCTTAAACATAGCCTTATATAACTATCGCCTTCCAGGTACCTCTAGGGCAAGGTAAATATTAAAGCTATCGGGTGACGACATCATTTTCTCTCCCGACTCTCCTGCTCCGCTCCAGCCCCTCCCCCCATTGCCTTTGTTCCCACATCTTTCAAGCAAAACATTGTGAGACCCATTCTCCTGTACTGTGCTTGTCTAGCTCTTGATTACAGGGCCTTTCTAGGCAGACACATTCTGTTCTTCCCACAATTTTCACCTCACCTTGGACACTGGGCTTGCGCGATTCCATCTCTTAGGGACTCAGCTTCCCTCTCAAGTGAGCAGGAGAATTACCGCTCAACATGCCGGAAGCACAATCGCCTGATTCCGCATTCCCTAGCGGCAAGGGAGATGCGGGTGCAACCCCACCAGGCCAGGTCTTGACGGGCAAGCAAGAACACTGTCAGTTGGAGGATATGATCATCACATTCTGATTTCACAGTTGCTGACATGTAGATAATTTGCGCAGACCTCAAGCGCGAGCTCATCGCCCGCGAAGTCCGCGGCGAAATCTCCGAGCTAAATTCCCCTACCGCGCTCCAGCGATTCGGCGCCCCCTTCAGATCGGAATTCGGTGAGGTCGCACCGGTCGACTCTGAGCTGCCTATTCTTCGGTATATTTTTGTTCATCACGTTCGCAATTTCCCGTTTCTTGACCAAGCACGCGAAAAGGAGTTTTGGCAGGATAAGCTACAAATCGTGGGTGTTTCGCGTCCCTGATGGAAACAAACTGCGCAAGAACAGAGTGTAACTGACAGCTGGGGATATAGTTCTTGGAATCGTTTGCCAATAAACATGTCTCGTCTTCGGAGGATCGACTGGAGGAGACGAAGCGCCGGAAGTTGGCTCGGAAATGCGAGAAGCTCGTGGAGCTGATGATGGTTTCGGGTGTGCCGACCGCGTCGGGATATGAGGAGCGCATTCAATTCTCAGAGATGGAGATCGTCGAGCGTGGTGCTCAGGAGTCGGGACTGCTGGCCAATATGCCCGAGGGTAATTCAATCAATGGTTGGGATGTGAACGTGGCCGCTGTTCGGACGACCTCTGTCAAGCGGACAGTGCGATACCATCAACATGCAGTAAGTTGCATAATTCTGAAGACCGCCTTCTTTTGGGATCTGGGGTTTCTTTGCTGACAACAACCGTCATAGGAATTCATTATCCGAGTTCGTCACAACGACAAACAGGAGGTTCATATTGGGAGGAGATATGGGGAGTTTGTCAAGCTTCACAAGAGACTGAGGACCGAGTTGCCAGGGAAACTACTCCCTCCTCTTCCTCGTAAGAACAAGACTTCTTCCACCTCGAGCTGGTGGGGCGCTAGTGCAGATGATGACGCTTCGTCTCTTTCATCTCTGTCCACACAGGACACGAGTGTTCCCGAGGATCGGCTCTCTGCACCAACTCTTTCCGCAGGGGACCTTCGGCGATCAATCTCCCGAGGATCTCTGCGATCAACAAAGTCACCGCGTGCATCAACCGACGTGTCGAGGGCGACTGTGCTGTACCGGGAGGAGCAGCGTGTGTCACTGCGCGCGTTCCTGCGCACTGTGTTGCAGAACAAGCGTATTGCAGAATCCAAGGCCATGGAAGAATTTTTGACCGCTCGCCCCATCGAGTTGAATGAGGAAGAGTTGATTGACGTTCAGAAACGGAAAAAAATGGATGCTGTGAGAATAGAGGAACAGAAGAGATTCTACGAGATTGCTAGGCAACGAGCGGCAGAGCTGGATGTGTACATGGAGCGCTTCCGGCGGGATATTGTGGAGAGCAGTAAGTCGCGAGCTCCTTCCCGGGGCCCAACATAACGTGGGTTGCTAATCTTACTTGCATTCCAGATGGATTGACAAAGCTCTTCGCCGAGATTCGGGAGAAGCCCTCTATTGCAGACCTCAGCCCGCAATATCAGAAATTTGCTGAGTGGCTCCGCATTGAGTATGTTGTCTGATTTCCTCTGTGTTTTGGCCCTACTAACATTGAATAGAGTTGCTGCGACGATATACCATCTGTTCCTTGCCGAGGATAACTCCCCTGAACTGTTTGCACAGGCGAAAAGAATCCACGGCCTGGTTCCGTATACGCTAATGAAGAATGTGATTCGCATCGCCAACCCTGCTGCGGTCATGTCTGGTGTTCTAGACCTTTTCATGGCCCAGCCCTTCGGCTCACGGTCACTTTTGCAACGCATCTTCTCATTAACACTAAACGAAAGCATCAAAGATTTCCAGAAATCGATTGATTCTTTGGCTTCGAAGGTTGAAGATACTGTTCTTACTCAGAAGCTCAAGAGCTTCGCGGATGCCGAGGAAGACGTCAAGAACGAGATCCGAGCAGAGGCTGTTGCCGACGATGTCGACATTATTGTGGCCATCCTTCGCTCCGAACTACTGTCACCCGAACTCAACACGGAACAGGTTGGCAAGGTGTTCAACGGCTACGTGGCTTGGAACTATGCAGTGGAGCATGTAGATCTGGAAATGCAACAGGGCGCCCAGTGGTTCGCTCACATGAAGCAGCTTCTGAAGCTTTACACCCGCCAGCGCGACAAGGCGATGATGTTAAGCATTGTTGAGGAGCCAGTCACATTGCAGCTCTTCCGCGACTTGTTCACTATCTTCTACGAGCCGCTCGTCCGGGTTTACAAATCTGCCAACGTATACAACAGCATTACCGACTTTGCTCTCTTTGCCGATGATGCTATTAATGTGATTGAGAGTGCCCAGCGCCAGGATGCCTCTGCCGACCCGAACCAAACAGTGCAGGCTTTCATCGACCTGTGCGCTCGCCACGAGGCCAACTTCTACAAGTTCATCCACGAAGTGCACCAGCACGATAACGGCCTATTCCAGTCTCTAATGGGTTGGATCGAGGAGATTCTCGATTTCCTGCGCAACGGCCCCGCTGGAGGCAAAATGGACATCAATGCTTTGTTCCAAGGAGCTGTTGGAGTTGGCCAAGTCGACAAAGGCCTTGCTCTCACGGAAATCAACCAGCTTATCAAGTGGCACGAAGACCGGAAACGTTGGCATCTGAATAAGACTCGCCAGAAGATGGCTGCTGAAGGTACACCTGCGGAGACTATCCCAGGAGCTACAACTTTCAAGGGTAGTGATTTCGGTCTTGACGAGGTATGTGTTTGCGCCCGCTCGACTTCGAAAATGGATTTGGTTTTTAAGACTAACCCCGGGTTTACAGGCTGATCTGGAGGACCTCACTATCTCGGATGAAGCATCTGATGCCTCTGATGAAGACTCTGGAGATGAGGACATGGACGATCCCATCGCCGTAGAGCGCCGTCGGCGGACAAAGAAGCAGGACCAACTTCGCCGAACCGCGGGTGAACCGGTCAAGCCCGAAGTTAACGAGATTCTCAAGCTTGCTGATCCGTTTGGTATCATGTTGCGGCATGTGCTTGCTGATTAGATGCCGATGTTAGAATTGTTTTGCTACATTCGTGATACCGCCATAGATATGGCTTCTCCCGTTTGATTCCCACTGCCTGATTTTGTTTCATACACCGATCCACTTGCTCGCTTGCTTCTACTTGCTGGCTCGCTCATGGCTTTCCCGACTGGGAGGTCTAGATAGATATAGCATATGACAGAGACCGCACGCCAGATGGGTTATGATAATTGAGACCAGAATATTCATGATGGGCTGCATATGTATCTCTGCAGCAACTCCACTGCCTGCTGATTGCCATTCTCCAATGCCGCCTCTAACGGCGTCTTCCCATCTGTATCACCCAACCGTGGATCAATTCCATGCGCCTCGAGAAGTAGCTTCAGAGCACCTATGTGACCGTAAAACGCAGCATTAAACAGCGGCGTCTGACCGTTCTCATCACGAGCATTGGGATCAGCCTGCCTAGACCCAGTCAACAACCGCCTAACAATCCCCTCGTGGTTTCTTTCCGTCGCAACCCCCAGCGGCGTAGTGCCATGCATATCAGAAATCTCCAGCCCGACCCTCTCACATCCAACCAACAACCCCACGATCTCCTCGTGCCCATTCTCCGCAGCGACGAACAGAGGCGTCTGCTTCTTCCAATGCGTCTGTAAATTAGGATCCGTAACCTCCCAGCCGAGTAAAAACCGTACAACATCCACCCGCTCCGCCGAAGCCGCAATTGAAAACGCCCCTCGCCCGTACTGCTGCCCCTCAGCGTTGGGATCAAGCCTATCCCCAAAATAAGCCACCAAATACCGCACAATATCAACATGCCCCATGATAGCCGCATAGAAAAACACATGCTGACAATGCGCAGCGCCATCGTCCCCCTCAAGAATCAGTCGCAAATGTTTAGCAAGCAACAAGCCCACATCCCCATCTACTTCGCGCGCAGCACGACTGAGCGGCGTCCATCCCTGCCGATTTGGCACGCGCGGATCCGCTCCGCTACAGAGAAGCAGCGTCATCATCTTGGGCTGGTGATTGACGGCAATCATAAGTGCAGTATCGCCTGTCTTATCTTGCAAGTTGACGTCTGTACGGTCATCATTCAGCAGGGTCTGCACTATGGCTGAATGGCCCTCTTTGACGGCCCAGGACAGCGGCGGGCGGATCCATTTTCTGTCGCGGGTGTTGGGGTTTGCTTCGTCGTTTAGCAGGAGCAGTTTGAGTACAGCGATGCTATTGTGCAACGCGGCCAGCATGATCGGGGTGCAGCCTTTTAGTCGAGGGTCTGTGTCTGTTTTTGATTGGATGTCGAAGCCTGCGGAGAGGGATTTTAGGGCTGTTGAGGGGTTGTCGGTTGTTGAGGCCCAGAAGAGGGATTTTGGATTTGATGAGGTTGCATCGCGCTTGTAGAGGGTTTTGTTTAGGAGGTTGTAGGTTGTGGTGTTGGTGCATGTGAAGGCATTTAGGTCTGATGGTGATGGGAGGAAATCGGATATTATGAGGTATAGTTCTTTAGGGAGGGTTGAGAAGGGTCCTTGCGGGTCTATGCATGGTGTATGCATTTGCGTCGTTTAAAAGAGTATGGAAGCATGAGCAGTTGATCATCGGGGTGGTTGAAGGAGTGTATATTTTAAGAATTGACTTGACGTGGGGTTAAGCTTATAAGAATGGTGTTGGATGTGTGGAGATCCGACTGCAGCTTCAACAGTACATGAGGTCATCAGTTATCAGAATCAATATCCAAAGTACACCATAGGCGACATAGTCTCGGATCATTCTCCATATCCTATATTCTATTCATAGCACAGATATAATCCACCTGGGGACTCCATATGTCTTAAAAGTGCCAAGACCTCGTGGAGTCTCGATAAGATAATCAGGTTTCCATGGCGACGACAACGTCACAATGTCCAACTTACCTTCGTGAACAACATCTGGGGAAGATCCATCGAAAATGTCGTCCCCTCAGAAATACCCGCGCTCGCCAGTAAATACGGCGCCTTTGCGCCGTGGCCTCTTCAAAGATGGTCTTTGGTGCTGTAACTGCCCAGATCGGCCAGTTGCCGTCCGTCGTGAAACTAAGAAGAAGGGACCAAACTTCGGGAAATGGTGTATGTCGAATCTTGCTTCCGAGGCTTCAAGGATGATGCTTGAGAAATACCTTTATCTTAAAGTAGCGACTGACATGAAAGATAGTTTGGACTTGTGCGCAGCCTCCACATCTCAAATGCAGCTTCTTCCTATGGGCACATGACGCCACAATACGTGAGCAAGCAACCGCTCTTGCCAACTCTCGATCCGAACTCGACCCTATCTCGCTCACCCCGTCAAGGCGCACTCCAGGACGTACGAACAACGGGCTACTCACTCCACAGACTGAGCGCAGATTCATCGATACCCCACAGCGCAACTTCAAGTCACCACCGAAGACAGCTAAGGCTAGAATGATCTCCGAAGCGTCAGATGAATTTGGGTGGAATGATGACTCGGATGAAAATGATGAGCTTTTCAACGCACTCTCTTCCAGCCAGACCGAGAGCTTCATCTCGCAACCCAACTTTCATCCCGAATCCCCATTCAAGACCCCCCGCACCTCCGCGGTGACCTCACCCGGCAAGCGCAAATCGGCAGGAGTCACAAATGATGATGCTTCCTACGACCAGTCTGCACCCGCGACGCCTTTCTCATCCCGCTCCTCTCGCGCCGATATGTTGCCTCCCTCGTCTGCGGAATTATGCATGACACCTACGCCTAGCAAATACAACGATGTACTCTCCGCAGAGTCGAAGTTTGACACCTCGGATCTCGCGAAGAGTCTACTCGATATTCTGGAAAAACATAGTGTTGTTTTGCCAAACAATGCGTATGACGAAGCGGTCTCGCTGCTTAATCGGCAGGAGTTGAAAACGCAGGGGATTATCCGTGGGCGGGATATGACGCGGCTGGCATTAAAGAAGAAGGATGGAGAGATTAAGAAGCTGCAAGACCGTGTTTCTAATCTGGAAGCTCAGAGGGAACTGGATCGTTCTCTTATTGAGTAGATGAAACCGTATTGAGGGGACAACCTTGGAATCAGATTGCACACCCGGCGGACACTGCCAATGTTGATTTCTGAAATTGGCATTCCGATGTCTTCGTATACGTTTGGCTCAGCGTGGGCCGCCCATCTCACGAACCGTTATGATGATATGACTGTTTTGCGATCTGTGATTATTATGTTATCGTCTGGACATTCTGTTATGCAGGGAATCATGACACTGTTTCCTCGATAGACGAACAAGCATGCTCGAATGAGGAAATATAATGAGCTTTATCAGTCTAGTAAAAATAATGTGAAATGTGACCAAATGTTAGAGGGCGGTTGGGGATATGTCCTTGGATATGTATACAGTACCTTCGTGTAGGGGAAAAATAAAGACAAATACTACATAGTGAACAACATCTCCCTGGTCGCTCGGGTATCCCTAGAGCTAATTACTAGAAAACTAATGTCAACACTTATTTAAGACAGATTCCGACACATTTTAGGTTACAAATCATTAAGCTTCAGCTATGGTTCTTATAATCGCCGGTGATTCAAGTCTTTAGCCTCATATCCTTGATAGCCTTGCGAGAATAAAAACATGCCTGATTTGGCCCTCAATCCTCTCGGGCCATGAGACTAGTTCATGAAACCATTATTGTCATACTAGAACACACTTGATGTTAAACCTATTACTCACATCTGATTCCGCCCTCTAATACTACATACATTATTATGAGCTTTTCGTGTTACTTTACAGAGACGCGCTTCTGAAGGATCGGTTTTTAGCTTGACGAATTGCTAGGACACTTGGGCGAGAAGTCCATTGAGGGCACTCGGAGTCTTTACTAGGAGAAATTACATATGAAGAGCTGAGCTGATAGAAGCTACACTCTCCGTCGTCTCAATTCCTTTCTCAATAATTACTACAACGTATTTTTTCCGAGACTCAAAACCGATTCTCGATACCGCCAATTTAGGTACTGACTAGCTCTTGCTCTTGAAAAGCGAAAGACAACGTCTGGATCAAGGTGTAGAGCGTCGCTATCGTTCATTCTTGGGTGCGGTTGTGGACGAAACATTGGGCGCGGACCGCTCCGTCGTTAGCTTAAAGCCTCGGCCATAACGATCTTTGAATTCCGATAAAGGTTGGTCTTCCAAGCCTTCGTCTTGCATGGAATGCCCTGCTGAAGGCGAGCCCCTATGATCGGTATTCGCAAAATTGACCCTGGTCATATCCCTTGACAACTGTTGAAGCGATGCATCACTAAGATGGCCCCCAACTTGCCTCGTCCTCCATCCCAGGCCACGATTTCTGCCGTGAATTATTTTCTCATTGGTAGAGACCATGAATTGAATGGCATCGCCAGTGGCATAATTATCGATCGTACTAGCATTTTCGCCCAAATGAATTCCAGCCTTTGAACAGATATGCATGCACTGGCGAGTTGTCTCCCACTCTTCTTGTAACCTGAGAAGTTCTGCGATGTCCTCCTGAGAGGCTGTACTTGTCTTTGACTTAGTCACAATTCGGTCCATTAGTATCTTAAGATGATTCTCCAGCTTCGCAGCGGTGTTAATGAGGCTATTTTTGCATTCCTGCAAACCCTCGTTGGTGACCCTTTCGGGTATATTGCTCGAACTGACAGAATCGGTGGAGTTATCACGAGCTTTCCGTAATTGTTGAATCTGATCAATGTGACTTGATAACTGTGCACATATTTCGAGACATTTTTGGGTGCTTAGGCGTTCCTCCTCCATTAGCTGAATTTCCCTGGCGTCCGTGCTTGAGTCTTGCGTATTCTTGGCGATAATATTCTCCAGCTTTTCGTCGATACTCTCTAAATGAGTTTCGAGATCATCGGTGGTGGTTTCAATCATTTCCTTATAGCTTTCAAGGCTATCAGCTGCGATAGAGGACTGTCGGCTAGAAAGGCACATCAGCGTTAGGTCAAATGCACTTGATGTGTATAAAGTGACTCACAGATTTGCATCAGTGAGGGCAATGATGATAGTTGATTTATAACCAGCTAACATTCGTCTGAAACCATCAATATCTTCGCCCATGTACTTTAATTTGGCCCAGTCTCGAAAGCTCGTTTTGCCGGCGCGAGATCGCGTCGAACATTTCTTAAGCTCCTCTTCAAAATCTCTGCAGGCATTTCCACAACGAAGGAGGGGATGTTCGAGGCTAGCGAGGTTTGTATCGGTTTCGCATTCAAGGTCTCTGTTAGAGCGCTAAGAACTCCATTCAGAGTCTCGAGCTCCTCCGTCAGGTCGCGTACGCGTTTTGGATGAGATTGGTAGCTTAGAAGTATATCGAAGAGGGCAGTGCTGGATTGAAATGCGAACGTAGCCAAAGCCACTAGGCCAGAAGCTATGCCAATAGGTTCTGCCATAAAGCGTCGCCTGATGATGCGTAGGTAGTGCTGGGATGGTTGGAAATTATTTACTTGAGATGGAAAATTGCCGGGCTAAGCCTTCAGTTTATGTTTTTCAAGCAAATAATAGGAGTGACTGTGTGATGGGACGAGGTGAGAAGGCTCGATACCGTCGTCCAGCTAGGAGGGGCATCACAGTGGGTCCAGTGGCTAGCTAGCCAATCAAACAACGTCCAGCCCCGTCCGCTCGACAAACATTGCGTGGCACTGGATTGATTCCTCCCGATGATATCCTAAATCCAGAATCAGCCTACTTACTATAAACGATACGGACGATTCCGGTATTGACCTCCTTTCGAACATGATTAACACGGGAGGAAAATCTAGTCTATGGGGGATTGTTGAGAATACTGAGAGCTGCATACCTTATTCTCATCTCATTACGGCCTACGATTAAGACTGGGGCCGGCAGTTCAATATTACTACTTCCGTGAAATGTGATATATCACTTCATGAAGGCCGAAACCCTGAAACCAAACCCCGACACATGTGTCCCAAACGGCTGCTGTTAAGTGATAATAGAAATGGAGTGTTTAAAGAAAGAAGCATCATGCAGTTTATAGTAAATTTTGTTTGATTGAGCTTTAGAAGTGGTGTAATAAGAAACCCGTTTAAAATGTTGGGCGTTGAATATTGGACGGGCCTGAAAATTTTGAGACTCAAATTTTAACAATCAATATTATTGAAGAGCTCAGAATATTACTCCACGCTTGATATTGTGCTCCTTTAATTTAGCAGACACCATATTTTGAAAGTTTCCGTTCCCCTAATTTTATCGATACTATAACATTAAAACGCTTCGGTGTTAGCAAGACTTAGCGATAGAGCAATTGAATGCACAAAGTAGAAAAATGACATTAAGGCGTGATCCTATAAATCTAGTTGATTGGTTACCATAGTTAACGTATTTCACTACCGAAGGAAGCTAAGAAATGTCCAAAGGCGTGAGCAGCGCGAGATGCGTCTTCTGCCCTCCCCTGTCGGCAAGGACGACGACGAGGGGTAGCTAAGGCTTTGCCTGACCTTATCGCACTATCATTGCGGACTTTGAAGACCATTCACTCTTGCGTGAGGGAAGACTAGGCTCCGGATTTCGGGCCCTATCGTGTCATCATCACAAAGGCAGTCACCATAAACGCCATCCGTCTCATTTGCCTACTAGCCTCGACGCATCGAAAATCAGATCTTCGAAGCTCTCGAAAACACCAACTATTACAGCTCCAGTGCCATAGGAAGTGATATCCCCCTACTATGCACGCCCACGATGTAAAATGGACCTGGACGCCCCATTTTCTTGCCTAACAAGAGTTTACGTTACCGAGACTTGATGAGTACGGGGGACGGCCGAGATGAACAAGTAGAGACGGCTAAGCAACTTATTTCAACTGAACGAGCCTCATCACGAGAAGAACACCATAAACAGCTCAGAACATACTCTGGAAAGTGCGACATATTTTGCAAACCACATAGTTTACTATGTATCCCAGCTAACTGCTATCTCGGCTGACTGCCATCTCGACTGACGCGTCAGCAACGCGCCAGCTCGTGTTGTAAAAACGTCTAAAGGGCCACAAGTAAAAACGTGCCCATCCCGGCACCAGAATTTTTGAGTGAGTCTAATAAAGCTTCAGTTCAGTGGCAAATCTAAGGATATATGCATTAGAACAATCCCAGAAGTATCCAACTGAGTCCCCAGACGTAGTAATCTGATGATAGTAGAATGACAGCTCCCACGGCCAGCTAATGCGTTCCGAAACCTTATAGGATCGTCAACAAGAGGATATGCCCAAGAGCTGGAGTAGATATAGCAGTATCAGTCTTCCAGTCACAGATCACTACATCATTTACCTCTACATCAGAACATAGTGAGTATGAAAGCGGATCATATATTCAAATTTCAATACAGCTAGCGTTCGATTATACAGGGTGAATTGAAATCAGTTTCACCACTTGCACACGGAAATTGTTTCTGGAACCCTCCTTCCAAACACGGTAATCTGTATCCCGCTTAGCCCTGTTTCAAGTGTCAAATTGTACTGAAAGATCCTATCATGCGAGGCTCGATTTGGTGAAATGCGCTTACATACTCGCTACGTCATTTGCCCCTTAGTTATGGTACGCTCTCCACTACTACGTCATCTCCATCCTTACTAAGGTAGTCGACACATAATACTTTCGTGGAAGGTCAAACTCAACGTAGAAATTGGACATTAAAAAGGGGCATGCCAGTATCTAGCTTATGTACGGACTCATGACACTACGCGGTCTCTACTAACATCGTAGCACGTGGAAGTGGGAGCAGAAGAGGTCTCGATATCGGATAATAACGAACGTGGAGAGAGAAGAAAAGAAAAACAGGAAGTGCGAGAAGAGCCTCACTTATCCCTTCATCCTTCCTGATTCAGAAGCCTCAGATTCGGCCTTAAGCCTCAGGCGCTCCATCAGGCGCTCCATCCGTCACAGAACTGATATTGCGCTTGTATGTTTCCCACACTAGCAATGTTAGAGAATTACATAGGGTATGTGGATGACTTAAAACCAAGTCTTCCTTTCTGTTCGGCCAAACAATTTGGGAGCAAGTCAATGGCTTCAGCATCGTGACCTGAGGATTTCCAGGTAAACACCAGATTGGCCATATTGGTCAGCGTATCGGGATGATCCTCGCCGAGCTTCGCCTTGCAAGCCTCCATAACCTGCACAAAGAGTCGTCCGGCCTTTTCCCACCGGCCCTACTTCAGTAGGCTATTGCTAACACTGCCGTACTCTGAAGAGTTGCCTCATTCTCCGGCATCTCGTAATTCTTCTTTCCGCTTTCTTGACTTCGATGCTATTTCCTTTATATCCCCAAATAAGCCCCTTCCGGGCGCGCACCATACCCCTTTATAGAGTAATGCGGCCCATTCTATTAGATACTCCTGGGATTCCGGTCATTGTGATATTGCGGATTTCATTTGTGGATAAAGAACCCGGCACTATTCCCAAGTTCCATATCTACCGCTAGGAAACTTTTTAGCCAAGTTCTTGGTGAACGTCTCTTTCCATTGCTCCACTTTTCTATATGATTTCACCTATACGCGTATAGACAGTTGCACCAGCCGATACATTATAAAAGAACTACTAACCTTACTGACAGATATAAATCAATAATCCCTTAGCGTGACCACATCGTCTTCAAAATCGGGGCTAATATCCGACCCCGATAACTCTTTATCACTAGAGTCATCCAGAGGCTGTGAACGTAATTTCTTGTTGGCTTTAGGTTGATCCCGAATAAGGTTCTCGGGTATTCCTTACCGATCAAAAGAGCTTATAAGAGAAAGCAACTCTGCTGCAGATAGCTTTATTCGGCATATATAATCGAATGATACTGGCCATATCGCCATAATTGAGTTCTTCGCTTCCCAGTCCTAGTAAACTTGACCCACCTCATTTCTCAGAAGCTTTATCGCCTAACGATCTCTCTTTTATATATCGTCTAAGTATTGTGCTACCGAGCAGCGAGATGCTCGATTTCGAATGTAGCTGGCTGGCTGCACAATCGCTAGCGGCATAAACTCCAAGGCATCTTTTAGTGTTGGCTCTTTTAGCAGTCTTCTGGATGTCCGAGTTTCTTATAGAGAAGGTCCAGCGCCTCAGGCCTTTCTATCGGCTTCACTTCAATAATATCGTTTTGATCAACCATCCTTACAGAAATATCTCTGCTTCGACTTGTGATAATAGTGAATCTATTCGGAGTTCTAGGAATATATTCTAATAGGGGTTTGGTCGAGGGACCTGTAGGGCCTTTCGTCGGATCGACCTTGCCCGCTACCGGAGATAAGCAAAGGTAATCGTTATCGATATTATAAAGGACATAAATCCATTTTCCTTCCTCTCATATCGCTGCCAATTCAGGTCCAACCGGATAGGAGTATTCGGTCGCAAATTGCGACTTCTGTCGAGTTGTAAGCAACGAACAGTATCTTGTTCGCTCTACACTTACGCGACACCACCGAGACCAGCACTATTCTCGACCCAGGAACCAAGCGTTTGCGATGGATCTGAGCAAGCAGGGTGTCGCGATAAACAGATTCTGGGTTACGCGGGAATGGGACGATTGATAAGGGGCTGGGCGGGGTTTCCGGTCGCGCTAGAGTGTGAAGAGGTAGATAGTTGGTGAGGGCTGACGATTTTGAGTTCCAGTGCTTTACAAGAGCATGAGATGCTGGACAGTGTATACGCATGTGTGGAAGAAAATCAGCCTTGCGCAACACTTTGGGTCATTGGTACCAAATGTTCGTGTAGATCAGTTTAAATATGACAGGCAAATCATATTTCAGCAGATAGGCTCAAGTCCAACGACAACTCTCACCACTTGTAAATGCTGGGTGGCTGCCTTGTTTCGCGCCGCTGCACTGCGGCGCTTCAGTTTTTGCCCGGGCAATGGAAGAGGTCTCCATAGGATATGACCTTAATGAAGTATTTATTGGTTTTTGACTCCAAGTGCTTACTGGCCCTTGGTCCTAAGGAGAAGCTGGAGAACGTACTCGAACAGAAACGTCCCTTATAGATAAAGGCTGAGGGCGGATGAAGTACCCTCGAGGTGTAGGGGGCAGGGACACCGGTTCAAATCTGTCTATCAGTTTCAGGGCACCTGGAAGTGAGTGATCTTGACCGTCCAATAAAACTCGGCAAACTTGCAGGGATCCCCGCACTCGCCCCTGTCTCCCGCAAGGCTGGCTCGCTCACCATCAACGAAACATATCCTAAAGATTCTGGTAAGATGGAACTCCTAGATTCAAACAAATTCACGTCATTTGTAGCCGACTTGCTACGGCAGAACAAAATCCCGGGTCTGTCAATTGCTGTCGTTCACAATAATGATATTGCCTCGGGAGGTTACGGTGTGGCGAGTTTCGAAGACAACATATCTTGCACTGGGGATACACTGTTTGACATCGCCTCATCCTCAAAGTCCT